CTCTATAAGTTAGGTATAGATGGAAAGTATCTCAACTTAATTAAAGCCATATATGATAAACGCACTGCCAATATCATCCTGAATGGGGAAAAGCTGAAAGCTTTTCTGTTAAAAACAGGAACCAGACAAGGATGCCCACTCTCATCACTCCTATTCAACATAGTGTTGGAAGTACTAGCCATAGCAATCAGAGAAGAGAAGGCAATAAAGGGCATCCAGATTGGAAACGATGAAGTCAAACTGTCCCTGTTTGCAGATGACATGATCCTATATATCGAACACCCCAAATCATCTACAAAAAAACTCTTGCAGGTGATAAATGAGTTCAGTGCAGTAGCAGGATACAAAATCAACACACAAAAATCAGTAGCATTTCTATTCACCAATAGTGAACAAGCAGAAAGAGAAATCAAGAAAGCCTGCCCATTCACAATAGCCACCAAAAAAATAAAATACCTAGGAATTGAACTAACTAAGGATGTGAAAAATCTCTATAACGAGAACTATAAACCACTCCTGAGAGAAATTAGAGAGGATACAAAAAGATGGAAAGACATCCCATGCTCCTGGATTGGAAGAATCAATATAGTGAAAATGACTATACTACCCAAAGTAATATACAAATTCAATGCAATCCCCATCAAAATTCCAATGACATTTCTCTCAGAAATGGAAAGAACTATACAGTCATTTATCTGGAATAACAAAAGACCAAGAATAGCCAAAGCAACGCTGAGCAAAAAAAAATAAAGCTGAAGGTATTACTCTACCTGACTTTAAACTATACTACAAAGCCACAATAACCAAAACAGCATGGTACTGGTATAAAAACAGAGACACTGATCAATGGAATAGAATAGAATACCCAGAAATCAACCCACGCACTCACTGCCATTTGATCTTCAGCAAAGGCATCAAGTCTATTCACTGGGGTCGGGACTCCCTCTTCAGCAAAGGGTGCTGGGATAACTGGATATCCATATGCAGGAGATTGAAACTAGACCCATACCTCTCACCATATACTAAAATCAAAAATGGCCAACAGTCATATGAAAAAATGCTCAACATCACTCAGCATCCAGGAAATGCAAATCAAAACTACACTGAGATACCATCTCACCCCAGTTAGGATGGCTAAAATCCAAAAGACTCTGAACGATAAATTCTGGCGAGGTTGCGGAGAAAAAGGAACTCTCATACATGGTGGGACTGCAAAATGGTGCAGCCTCTATAGAAAATGGTATGGAGGTTCCTCAAACAATTGCAGTTAGATCTGCCGTATGACCCAGTGATCCCATTGCTGGGAATATACCCAGAGCAATGGAAAGCATCAAGTCGAAGGTATACCTGTACCCTAATGTTCATCGCAGCACTCTTTACAACAGCCAAAAGTTGGAACCAGCCCAAATGTCCATCATCGGATGAGTGGATACGGAAAATGTGGTATATCTACACAATGGAATACTACTCAGCTATAAAAACGAATGAAATACTGCCATTTGCAACAACATGGATGGACCTTGAGAGAATAATATTGAGTGAAACGAGTCAGGCAGAGAAAAAGAAATACCACATGTTCTCACTTATCGGTGGGAGCTAAAAGAAAAAGAAAAATAATAATAATAATAATAAACAAATTAATTGACCCACAAACACACACACACACACAAAAAAACAAACAACAACAACAACAAAATAAATAAATAAATAAATAAA